ACCCGCAATCAGAGAGTCGTAAAACTCCAGACTGATGTGCTAGCCACTGGGCCAGCTGGCTATGACAAGATTTATCCAACTAGGTATAGTATTTGTACACCATAGGAAGGTTAGCATAGGCACCACTGTGGCCACAAATCCAGGCGTGTTTGTGCTGGTCTGGAATTTTATGACTCTCCACTCGCGGGTTGTATCCCACCCTGTGGTATGGTTCGTTTGCAATCATGTCTATGATTTCATGAATCATGATGACGGCTTTGAGGTGACCTGAACTAGAGCTAGTCATGGCCACGCTGGCTGGAGATTCGTCTGTAAAAACTTGCATCTGTGGTCACAGTGGTGCCTATGCTAACCTTCCTAAGGTGTATAAATATACACCTTGACTTACGAGTTTAATTCGTTGCATGACCGAGCTCGTAATTCGATTTGCTTGTTTATCAAATCAATTTTCCTCGTTGAAATTAATTGAAATGCTATTAATCTGTTCCAGCTCCCAAAAAACCACCCCAATTTTTTTTTTTTTTTTGCTACGGGTTTTTAAATAAGAAAAATGTATTTATAAATAAGAAATAATTTTTGCATTTCTTGGCAGGTCCCAGCAATGGTCTGGAAATGTTGGAGTATATATGAAACTCCTTGAAGCATGGTGTAAGATGAATGCCGCTCCACTGCTGACAGTGCAGCAGTGGAGTGACATTTGATGATCATGCACTGACTTGGCTTTATTTTACTGTTACACATAAACATGTCTGTCTGTCTGTCTGTTTCTGTCTTGTCTGTTTGTTTCTATCCTTATATTTGTCTCTGTCTAGCTGTGTCTGTTTATCTCTGCCTCTGCTTATCTGTCTTTGTCTGCCTGTGTGTCTGTCTTCCCATCTCTCTACTTGTCTGTCTCAGAGAGAGAGCTGCTCATGAACCAACAGGTATTACACACGATGCAGAGTCATCACGTCTGATTTCTGAACAAGTGAAAATGTGTATTACTTTCCAGTCATGCTTATTGTGCCTTATATCTACAAGCATAGTATAGCACTTTGTCTGGATTTTTGGGTTATCCTAGGTAATTTACACTATGTATAACTGTGTACCTGTGAGACAGAGACAGAGATAGAGATAGAGAGAGATGGAGATAGGGATAGACAGAGATAGAGATAGACATAGAGATGGTGGCACTCTTCAAATCCCTAGTGCTCCCTCACTTAGAATATTGCTCAGTGCTGATGGCCCCATTCAAGACAGGAGAAATATTGGAGCTGGAACAAATACAGAGATCGTTTATGGCTCACATTGAGCCAGTAAAGCACCTAAACTACTGGGAATGCCTGCAAGTCTTGAACATGTACTCATTGGAGTTGAGAAGAGAGAGGTACATGATAATATATACTTGAAAGGTACTCGAGGGCTTGGTCCCAAATCTACACACTGCCATAACATACTGGAGTGAGAGATATGGGAGGAAGTGTAAAATAAACCCAGTGAGGAGCAGGGGTGCGGTGGGGACAATAAGGGAACACTGTATCAACATCCGGGGTCACAGACTTTTCAACATCTTACCAGAAGATATCAGAAACACTGCTGGAACAAGTGTAGAAGCCTTCAAGAGGAACTGGACAAGTATCTTCACCAGGTGCCAGATCAACCAGGCTGTGATGGATATGTGGGGCAGCGGGCCTCCAGCAGCAACAACCTGGTTGACCAGGCAAGCACCAGATGAGCCTGGCCCATGGCCAGGCTCAGAGAGTAGATAAACTCTCGAAACTCTTCAAAGGTATATCAAAGGTAGATGGAGAGACAGAGACAGACAGAGAGAGAGACTGAGAGAGAGACAGAGACAGACAGACAGAGAGAGAGAGAGACTGAGAGAGACTGAGAGAGATAGATACAGATAGACAGCCAAAGCAAATCAACCAGCTGCCAGCCAGCCAGCTGGCCACCCAACCAGTCAGCCACCCAACCAGCCAGCCTGCCGAACACGTATTACATGTGTTCCAGAATTTTCTCTTTACTTAGGGCATACATTACAGAACATTCTGGCAGGATGACGTTACCAGTGGTATCAAAATTGAAAGGATGTTACATAGGTTATTATCAAGGTTTTTGATATTTCCTCAGTATCTCCTGCAAGTGGCAGCATATCTGAAGCTCGCTTGTAACTGATTTTTGGCTCGCAACTCAAAGCAAAAAATCGACTGAGCAACGGCACGTAACTCGGAAAACTTGTAAGTTGGGGCACTCATAAGTCAAGGCAGCACTGTACCTAGTTAGATGAATCTTCTTGTAGCCAGCTGGCCTAGTGACTAGCGCGTTGGTCTGGAGTTTTATGACTCTGTGGGTTCTATCCCCGTTGGTGGTTTGGTTTGTTTGCAATCGTGTCATTACAATTTCGTGAGTCATGGTGACGGTATTGAGGGGACTGAGCTAGAGCTAGTCACGGGCACGCTGGCAGGAGATTCATCTGTAAAAACTTGCATTTTTGGTCACAGTGGTGCCTATGCTAACCTTCCTATGGTGTATAAATATACAGTGGTACCTTGACTTACGAGTGCCCCAACTTACAAGCCGTTGCTCGGTTGATTTTTTCTTTGAGTTGCAAGCCAAAATCCGAGTTACAAGCGAGCTTCAGATACGCCGCCACTCGCAGGAGATACTGAAGAAATATCAAAAACCTTGATAATAACTAATGTGTAACATCCTTTCAAATTTCATAACACTGGTACAGTAATGTCATCCTGCCAGAATGTTCTATAATTTATACCCTAAGTAAAGAGAAACAATTCTGGAACTTATAATACATGTTCCACAGGCTGGCTGGCTGGCTGATTTGCTTTGGCTGTCTCTCTCTCTCTGTCTGTCTGTGTATCTCAGACTCTCTCTCTGTCTCTCTCTCTGTCTCTGTCTGTCTGTCTCTCTCTGTCTCTCTCTCTGTCTCTCTGTCTCTCTCTCTGTCTCTCTCTCTGTCTCTCTCTCTGTCTCTCTCTGTCTCTCTCTGTCTCTCTCTCTGTCTCTCTCTCTGTCTCTCTCTGTCTCTCTCTGTCTGTCTGTCTGTCTGTCTCTCTCTCTCTCTCTCTCTCTCTCTCTCTGTCTCTCTGTCTCTCTCTGTCTCTCTCTGTCTCTCTCTGTCTCTGTCTCTCTGTCTCTCTCTGTCTCTGTCTCTCTGTCTCTCTCTCTGTCTCTCTCTGTCTCTCTCTGTCTCTCTCTGTCTCTCTCTGTCTCTCTCTGTCTCTCTCTGTCTCTGTCTCTCTCTGTCTCTCTCTGTCTCTCTCTGTCTCTCTCTCTCTCTCTCTCTCTCTCTCTCTCTCTCTCTCTCTCTCTCTCTCTCTCTCTCTCTCTCAGGTACACATAAATACAGTACAGTTATACATAGTGTAAATTACCTAGGATAGCCCAAAAAAATCCAAAGTGCTATACTGTTCTTGTAGATATAAGGCATAATAAGCATGACTGGAGGTAATGCACATTTTCACTTGTTCAGGAATCAGACGTGACAAGACTGCGTCATGTATAATACCTGTTGGTTCATGAGCGGCTCACTCTCTGAGACAGAGAGACAGGAACACAGGCAGACAGAAAGACAGATAAGCAGAGACAGAGATAAACATAGAGCTAGACAGATAGACAGACAGAAACAAATAGAAACAAACAGATACAGACATGTTTGTGTAACAGTGAAAAATAAAGCTAAAGCAGTGCACCATCATCAAATGTCATTCCATTGCTGCACTCAGCAGTGGAATGACACTCATCTTACACTCTGCTTCTAAAACATTGCTGGGACCTGGCAAAAAAGGCAAAAATCATTTCTTATTTATAAATACATTTTTCTTATTTAAAAACCCGTAACAAAAAAAATGGGGTGGTTTTTTGGGGGCTGGAACGGATTAATGGCATTTCAATTAATTTCAACGAGGAAAGTTGATTTGATATATGAGCAAATTGAGTTATGAGCTTGGCCATGGAACAAAGTAAACTCGTAAGTCAAGGTACCACTGTACCTAGTTGGACGAATCTTGTAACCAGCTGCCCAGTGCTAGCGCATCGGTCTGGAGTTTTGCGACTCTGATCGCAGGTTCTGTCTCCGCCCATGGTATGGTTTATTTGCAATCGTGTCATTACGATTTCATAAGTCATGTAAGTAAAACTGCTCAGGTGTAGAAGGTGCACTGCTGGAGGCCTGCTGCCCCAGGTTCTGTGTATATTTTAAAATGATATGCACTATAGGAGTTGACACAGTAAACATTCCATTATTTATATGATGATAGTTCAATACCTGATGATTAGAGGAATCTTCTCTGGTTGCCATGTTCTTGGTATAGTAGTTTAGCATTGTTCCACACCAAAGGTGTGTGAATTTGCAATGCTGTGTGGAGACATTGCATTGTCTGTTCTTGTGTGCTCTTGTAAGTGGGCTGGTAGACTAATGACTATTTTGCTGAAGTATGCCTTATCCTAACCACCACACAGAATTTTGTGCACTCCTGCATCCTTGGGTCTGGTATGTGGTGTCGAGGTCCTTGTGAAGTTCTGTGTGATTTTTGTAGTAACTTCCACACTGATAATACAGTAGTCATTACAAAAACCATACAGGACTTCAGAAGGACCTTGAGGACAGTAGGCCTCCTATGGTTGAAATCAGACCAAAACGTCATCATAAGTTTCTCTTATATGCAGTTTATTTATGTATTGTTCTAATCATGGTATTGTACCTTTTTATTCTTTATGGTGTGCCTTCCATGCTTGAGCATGGAAGGCACACCATAAAGTGACCTTTGTGTGACACCCAAACAAGTGTCATCAGTCCCTGTGGACTATTTAAGCTATTGTTTCTCTTGTCTACTGTTTACTTGAAAAAGCCCATTGTTAGTTGAAACTGTTTAAATGAAGGTCTTCACTGCAGTGGTGTCATTGTACCAAATGCGATTATTTTATACATTGATAATCATGTGGCAAATAAAACCTCAGTTAAATGATGTTTGTTTAATTCACTAATTTAACTTTCATAGATTTGTGATACTGACAATGATGGTCTACTTAATGACCAGGAGCTCAATACTTTCCAGCGACGATGCTTCAATGCACCTCTCAACCCTCAAGTAAGTGCCCCATTTTAATTTTTTATATCACTTAATTAAATTAATATTTCTTAGGAAATACTGAAAGTATACATAGCCTCTTCATACACCTAGAAAAGTGTGCGATAGTGAGCTGGGAGAGAGAGTGGCAAGTTTATAGCATACATGGAGTAGAATAAATGTTATTTAATGTAGTGAAGAGGCTTTGAGCAGAGAGCAGAGCATGTGTTTAACCCGTAAACGGTCCAAACGTATATATATGTTCACTACCCTAGTGCCCTGAATATTTTGAAAAATAAAAAAATAATTTTTTTTTATAAAAATAAAGAGCACATTTTTCTAAGTGTTATAGGATTAAAATAAAAAAAAATTAGGGTCAGTACTTACTGAGATATGAGGCTGCAAAGTTGGCACTTAATGCTCACCTGACGGCAACATAGAGTCCTGCCTCTTGCAGAAGTGTTGCCGATGTACCATTTTTTCTCATTTTTATATTTTGTATAATTTTTATGTTCTGATAATTACAATTTATAGTTGTTCTTGTCATTTCATAACCAATCTTTGTTCTGACACTAATATTAGGTACTGAAATTGTACTCAGATTGTCACAAACACATTGACAGGTGGATATTTACACCTGCCTTGGTTGTTTACTATTGTCTACGAATATATACAAAGTATTTATAGGTCCCAGCAATGTTTTGGATACATGAGAGTATAGAAGAAGGAAGGAGGAGGAGGAAGAGGGAAGAAATTCCCTTGAAGCAATGTGTAAGATCAAACATGAGACGACATTTGATGGGCTCCAGCAGCGTGCAGAGATAAGATGAGATAGTGCACAGATAAGAGGAGATAAGCTATAACATTTGATGGGCGCCAGTGAGGGTGCACAGATAAGGCATGACATTTGATGAGCTGTATCTCTGATTATCTGTTTGTCTCATTTCTCTGTCTGCTTGTCTCTTTCCCTCTCTCTGCTTGTCTCTGTCTCAGAGAGAGCCACTGCAAACCAACAGGTATTCATATGCATTATATCTACAAGCACAGTATAGCACTTCGGATTTTTTAGGTTATCCTAGGTAATTTACACTATGTATAATTGTATTTGTGTGCCTGTGAGATAGAGACAGAGACAGATAGAGACAGAGACAGATAGAGACAGTGTTAAGACCCATTTTGTACCGACCAGGCATCTCAGGCCAATCATACCAAATTTGGAGGCAGGAAAAATAAAATGTATATTTACGTTTGGGGCACTAGCGGTAAGAACGTACACATATGTTTGGACCATTTACAGGTTAAACCTTTCAGGGTCCAGACCCCTGATCTGAAACTTGTCCACTGGGTCCAAGAATTTAAAAGAAAAATTATTTTTTCTTATGAAATGATAGAGAATCTTTTCTGAAGGTAATAAAACAAAAAATACAAAATTTGATGGAAAATTGATGAAATTAGACTATTGCGAATTTTGCTGTCAGCAATATTTACGCATTAGTGATTTTGCCCACTTTGTCTCCTATTGTAGGCCAATTACATTGTGCCAGTCGACCAAATTCCTAGCTATTTTGCTAGTATGCCTTCTATTTTATTGATTGAACACAAGAAACTGACCAGTCAGCTACTTCAACTACCCAGTGAAGTAATCAGAAATTGGTAATTTGACTAATTTCACACAAATTTCAAAATATTCCACTTTCAAAGTAGTGGCCAGAATAAACAATGCAGGCATTCCTGGTACTAAAATAACATTTCCTCTGTTCATTAGTTACACTAGAATTTCATTTTGATTTTTGATTTGTACAAAGAATTTTTATTCACACCAAAAAATAGATTTACTGTTATGCAATATTGTAATAATTGTATAAATAATATCAGTGCATTCATGAATGCATATTAGACCCACCAGTTGACGTGTATAGACACACGATGTAATTTGGTTACTCTTGAACATTGGCAAAAATCGAACATTTCTGCTACTTTGAGCTTAATTTCAAGGTATTTTCAGTCCTAAAACCGATCAAAATCATCTCTGTTTCTGTAATATATGTTCCATTCTATCAAATGAGCTCAAAAAGCTGTGAATACAACCATGAAAACCTTACAAAAATGCACAGCAAAGTTGCTGTTTTAAACCAAAAACATGGTCACAGTTTTTTTTTCTCATTATGCACTGCATGCTGAAGGATTTGTTTTATATGGTGCACACTTACCACGTAAACTCATTCTTCTCTCATATCTAGGCCTAAATTTACCTCTCACAGCTTATTTGAGTGAGCTGAACTCTTTATGTAGTACTATGGCACAGACCTGGCTTTAAACCCATAGAACAACAGCACAGACACTTGAGTGGTTAAGATGTTCTGAGTGACTGCTTTTTTTACAAGTTTATTTTTTTTTTTTTTTTATTATCACACTGGCCGATTCCCACCAAGGCAGGGTGGCCCGAAAAAGAAAAACTTTCACCATCATTCACTCCATCACTGTCTTGCCAGAAGGGTGCTTTACACTACAGTTTTTAAACTGCAACATTAACACCCCTCCTTCAGAGTGCAGGCACTGTACTTCCCATCTCCAGGACTCAAGTCCGGCCTGCCGGTTTCCCTGAATCCCTTCATAAATGTTACTTTGCTCACACTCCAACAGCACGTCAAGTATTAAAAACCATTTGTCTCCATTCACTCCTATCAAACACGCTCACGCATGCCTGCTGGAAGTCCAAGCCCCTCGCACACAAAACCTCCTTTACCCCCTCCCTCCAACCCTTCCTAGGCCGACCCCTACCCCGCCTTCCTTCCACTACAAGTTTATGTGTTCATGAATTTCTTATAAAAATGGTGAAAATGAAATTAAAGAAAAAAAAAAAAGGTGTGAACTTAGTGTATTAAAAAATATGATATTGTGCATAGTGTATAAAATAAGATGGCTGAATGTGAATGTAAGTATTCAGCCAACTCTTATGGAGAGAGAAGATAATTATGGTACGTATGAAATCAGAAGTCTATTAGTAGTTAAAATACTGTACTTGTGATAAGTGACTGACAAGAGAGTAATTTGTGCAAGTGAAGAGAATAGAATGAATGGGGAAGATAGTTGATGTGAAATGAGCAGCCATATTTAGTATGAATGAGATAATGAAGCAACCAGTCCTCGTTTTACTCTGTTATTGTGTGCATTGCCCAGTGTTATTTTCTTTCTGTTTTTTTTTATACAGAAAAGAAATTTGATTTTGTTAGGATTGGAATGTCACAGAAATCCAGAGAGATTGTGTACTAACCACAAATAGGATGAAAACAGAATGACATGTTTGGCAGTGGGGTGTCTTGGAGTATAACAATATTCATTTTAAAATCTGAATGGATATCATGTGTTGTAAAGGAATATTTTTAATAAGGGATGTGAGTAGAGGCCTACATATGCGTGTGCCCGTTCTCGCTTGACATGTGGACGTGTAACATCATTATAGTATATGCATTTAAAGTTTGAAGTTCAAGCTATGAATTTGGACAACCAGAGAAGCACATATCTTCTTAAAGAGGATAGATAAGTATACTAGATGCATTACATTACTTTTTCACTACCCTGCATACACAAACACTGCATATACCCAAAAGTAAATTTTATTGAAGTTGTAAAAAAATTCAAATTCTGTGTAGGAATTATTTTTCTTCCACAAGGGCTTTCATTTATTACTCCAAATTTTCACTGCTAGTTTACTGTAACTAGGGAAAGGTTCATGCAACTATATGCATGTGTAGGTACCATCTGGGTAATTTTATATAGACTGTTCCTGATTTTGGTTTCCTTGCAATAATTTGAGAATGCCTCTTCTGAGCAGTTTTAACCTTTAAACATTGGTGTATCCCTAATTAAAAATAGGTTAGGATTGTTGTTGTGGAGGTACCAGTTTGTCCATTTTATTAAAAATGGAGTTTTTTTTTTCCTTAAAATAACTTGAGTATGCCTCTTTTGAAAGGCTTTTTATTTTTAACAGCTGGTGCATCTTATGGATACAGTAGTATAATATAAGTTTAGGCTGTGTAGATGCAAATTTGCCAACTTACTAACATAGTTCATAAACTTGGAATTGTTTGACATTGAGCAGTAACTGGAGAATGCCTCTTTTGATCAGCTTTAACCAGACTGTATCTGCCTTGTGCTATATTCCTTTAAATATGTTGCCTATCTCCAATTTATCATCTCTACTGTTTGGGTCATCTACCACCTTCATGTCTAGGAAAAATATCTAGGACCAAGCAGGTCCATGCAGTGCATCATGGGCAACACTGCCTCAGTAGCACATGTCAACAACAACCAGTACCCGTCTTACCATTCCAACTTTGAACTTTTGTACCACCTTTGGTGGTATGTGAGCATCTTGCTCTCATTTGAGCATCAGTAATAAGTATTCCCAATTCTCCCATTGATGCTTGACCTCAGCTTATTCTGCCAGCTGGTCACATTAAAGGTTGAGGCACCATTCATCAGCTCCATTTTTCCACTCTGCGGATATTTCACAGTAATGGTGGAGAGCCGGTTACTGAAGTCAGGGAGGGGTGTTGGTGTACTGGAGCTTGGGCAAAGGATCCACCAATCTAATTGAGAACGTTTTGTTTCTGTTTCTATTTGTTCCCTTTCCTTTCATTACCCAGCTTTGGGCAATACCTCTGTCTCAGATGTCGGGAAGCAGGGCTCAATACAATAATAGCTGTTAATGGTTCTTAAAACCCACAGTAACAACAACCACCACCACCATCAGTTTTTTTTTTTTTTGCCTGCAAAGAACTGGCAGGAAGATGAATATTATTTATTCTAAGTTTATTATTATTTCTTAATACTAATAGTGAAATTCAACCAAAAAGTACCCAAGGGTAACCCAGTGAAGTCTGTGACTTATTTCCATCTTTTCAGGTCATTATAACTTGAAACAACAATAATATCATAGGATTTCTTTGTACGTAGTGCACAAAAAAGATGGAAAACCCATCAATAGAAATAAACAGTTATTTGTAACAATTTATAGTGACCATTTCAGTTATGGCTGTGGAATGCTATGCATCCCAACATGTTTCAAGCACTAAAAAACCCTGAAACACATCTCTTATCCTAACAAAGTAATGTGCATAGTGTTAGACATTGAACAAAAAATAAAAAAATAATCTGACAAATAAATTGAAAACATATTACATGCATTTATGCCAATGGTGCCAACAGGAGGTCTTTTTTTTTTTTTGCTTCAATTCGCTATAAAACCATAAGTTTTCCTTTTAGTTTGTTTTCTTATCATATTTACATTTAGAAAAATAGGCCCTTTCAGTCTGTATGAAAAAGAATAATTTTCAAAATATTGGAACCCCCCTCCCCCCAACACACACATAGGAATATTTTTTTTCAGGGTCTGCTGCTTTTTAACCCTTAAACTGTCCAAACAAATTTACATTCACATGCGTAGTGCTCCAAAAGTAGATCTATGTTTTTTTACATATTTATTTTTTTTTTTTTTTTATTATCACACCGGCCGATTCCCACCAAGGCAGGGTGGCCCGAAAAAGAAAAACTTTCACCATCATTCACTCCATCACTGTCTTGCCAGAAGGGTGCTTTACACTACAGTTTTTAAACTGCAACATTAACACCCCTCCTTCAGAGTGCAGGCACTGTACTTCCCATCTCCAGGACTCAAGTCCGGCCTGCCGGTTTCCCTGAATCCCTTCATAAATGTTACTTTGCTCACACTCCAACAGCACGTCAAGTATTAAAAACCATTTGTCTCCATTCACTCCTATCAAACACGCTCACGCATGCCTGCTGGCATGCAGTGGAACCTCAAATATCCAACTTTCTTCAGTCCAGAAGTCTGTTCGACTGCCTTTACCGAATTAATTTATTCCCATCAGGAATAATGTAAATTAGATTAGTCCATTTCAGACCCTTAAAAATACACTTATAAAAGCACTTACAAAAATGCACTTACATAATTGGTTGTGTTGGGAGCAGTTCGATGTTTGAGGTTCCACTGTACTTTCAAATGTTGAAAAAACGTAGATCTACATTTGGACAGTTTAAGGGTTAAAGGGCTGAACTTTCAGGTGATAGTGACTTTGCTCAAAGGAAGGTTCAAATTGATTTTGGGCTGCGTGAGGTTTTTATTTAGTAATTTTATTAAACAAATTAATTTCTGTACAGTGGACCCCCGTTAACGTTTTTTCATTCCAGAAGTATGTTCAGGTTCCAGTACTGACCGAATTTGCTCCCATAAGGAATATTGTGAAGTAGATTAGTCCATTTCAGACCCCCAAACATACACGTACAAACGCACTTACATAAATACACTTACATAATTGGTCGCATTGGGAGGTGATCGTTAAGCGGGGTCCACTGTATAATAACTGGAGAATGATTCTTCTGAGTAGATTCAAACCCTAAATGCTAGTATATCTTAACTAAACTTTTGGATTAATAGGTGCCAATTTCCCAGTTGTATTGAAAATGAGAAAATTTAAATATTGATTTTCCTGCAATAATTTATGAAAGCCTTATGCAATCGGCTCTAAATCTTAACACTGTTGTTTCTTACTTAGAGGAAGCTTTTGATTGTTATTAAATTGTGATGGTGTTAGTTCACAGAATTTTATTTCAACCCTTCAGCTGTTGTTTAGGAGGTATACAAATTCTGGTTTCTTCAAAAAAAGAAAAATTTTTTTTTTCTTTAGAGGATTACAGAGAGTTTGAAATAGAATATAACAGTTTTTAAGTTTCATGCATTAAGCAAGCCCTTAAATGTCAACCTTTTGTACACCTGTATTGCAGAGCCAGTTAAGTACTGGAATATACTGTATGATTAGCTTCAAATTTTCAACACTAGTGAACTTTTAACTAGGGGAAAAAAGTTTCTTGAGACTATTGGGATGAGTAGGAGCACTTTTGTCAACTTTATAATGCCATTCTTGATTTTTGGTTTCCATGCATCAGAGAAAGCTTCTTTTAATTGGCTTCAAAAACTCTGCACTGGTGTATCCTACTGAGAAGAAGGTTGGGATTGTTATAGGAGTGTGTAGAAGCCAATGTGCAGCGTTTATTTTTTAAATTGTGTAGTTTTCCATGGAATAACCTGAATATAGTATGTAGTATACCTCTTCTGAATGGTTTCAATCTAATGGCTGATGAATCTTATGAATGGCATGATACCATTTGGGTTTATGCTATATGGGGAAAAATTTGCTGTTGTACTAACATAGTTAATAAGTTTGGAAGCATGAGATTCCATGCTATAACTGGAGAATACTTCGTCTGGTTCACTTCAAACTTTTAGTGCTTCTTAAGGATTTTGGATTCTTTAGCTTTTAATTTACCAGTTTTAATATAAAAAATGAATACCATGCAATAACTAATGATTGGCTTCAAACCTTAAATGCAGGTGTGTCTTACAGAAAGGTTAGTGTATGTATCAGTTTGCTAATGTAGGAAATTGGGAAAATTGAAGTACTGGTTTGCTTTTGATGATGCACGAATGCCTCTTGTGATTCACTTCAAGCCTTCAACAACAATAACTTGAGAATGCAACATAAAGGAAGATTCAAACTTGGTGCTAGTGCATTTAACAAAATTGGTCTCTGTGTAATAGAGAATGCCCTCCTTGATTGGCTTTAAAAGCTGTGAAGGTGCCAAAGGTGTAAATGTGCCAATTTTCCCTTTTTATTAAAGAATTAAGGGTGTTAATCTCCATGCAGTAGCTTGTGATGCCTCAACTGAACAGCTTCAAATCTTCATTGCCAAAAATTTAACTTCATTGAAAACAAGCTGCTTGCTCTCTTGTATCATTAATTTTACAAGAATTAAGGTAAAATGTGCCGGGCTTCAGAGATCTTGGATCGTGCAGAAACTGAAACGCATCTAGTTTACAGAGCTTTTAAAAGAAATTCAGAGTGCATGATTTATCAAGTATATTGGAAGAATATATTAAAGAAGAGCTTCTGCTTTAATAGCTGTGAATTTATCTACTGTTGTTGCATAATTCTTTAGGATCTTAATGCAATATATTCTGTCACAAATAGATGCATAGATAATTTTATAATTTTCATATTGTAGTTTATTGTCAAGAAATGTTATCATAGTAAAACAAGATTTTTATAGGCACTAGAAGAGCTGAAGACGGTTGTGCAGCGTAATGTGTCGGACGGTGTTCATGCTGATTCTCTTACTTTACGGGGCTTCCTCTTTCTACATCGCCTATTTATTCAACGTGGTCGCCATGAAACAACGTGGACTGTTTTAAGAAAATTTGGTTATAATGACAATCTTCAGCTCTCAAAGGACTACTTATTTCCACCGTAAGTAACCTAGTTTATTATTATTTTCACTATTTTATCAGAATTAATACAATTCTTGCACTTCCCTAAAAAAATATTAGCAAAATGCAAGTGGAAAAACTAAGAATTTCCAGTTTCGTGTCTTAAAATATATGGTTGGGAATAACAAAAAGGCACAGTACCGTGACTGGGAACAGTACACAAATAACTGACACATAAAGAGGAGCTTACGATGACGTTTCCGTCTGACTTGGACCATTTACAGTCACACTACCCTTTATGGGGCCCCTAGCTCCCTTACTTACAGACTGACTGACTGACTAACTTTAATTGCTGCTGCCACTGCCGCCTCCATTACTATTACAACTACTGCTACTTTTCATTTTCCTCTACTACCTCTCTTGTCTTGTCCCTGTCTACTGGTCTATATATACTCCCTCCTTCTCTCCTTTAAGTTAGTGTGACTTTGTAAATGGTCCAAGTCGGACTGAAACGTTGTCGTAAGCTGCTCTCTCCTATGTGTAGGTTATTTGTGTAATGTAGTAGGGGAAAAATTAGTGTGTGGACCCTTTGAGGGTCCAGAGCCCCAATGTGAGACTTGTCTACAAGGTCCAAGAATTTTCAAAAAAATTAAAAAAAAAAACTTTCATTATGTTTTCTTAAGAAATGGCAGAGAATCTTTTCCTGAAGGTAATAAAACAAAAAGTATGAAAAGAAGGAAAATTGACAAAATTATGGTTTTGTGAATTTTGGTGTGTCAGCGATAATTATGCATCAGTGATTTTACCCATTTTGACGTCTATTTAATGTAGATAGCCTGTATTGTCTGCATAGACAGCCTATGCTGTCTGCCAGCTGAGTTCATATTTCGCACCTTGCTCGTGCTGCCACCTATAGGCCTATGCACTTCAGTATGCCTAGATCTGCCTCTCTCTCACTCTCTCAGCGGCCTTCACTTAGTCAACAAGGCCAACTCCTCTCTTCCTCATGGGCATGGCCCTCCCAGGCCATGGGCACAAACACAGCCTGTGTACCCACTATCTCGCAAATAAAGTAAAGAAGCCTCCGAAGCCTTATCATTACTCCCCGCTAACAAGAACCACCAATTAACCCATAATATTAAGATCAATTACGTTGTTCCAGTCGATCAAATTCTTAGTTATTTCACTAGTGCGCCTTTCATTTTAGCAATTGAGCACAAGAGACTGCCTAGTCATCTATTTCAATTACCCAGTAAAGTGATCAGAAAGTGGTAATTTGGCCAATTTCACACAAATTTCAAAATATTCCAGTTTCAAAATAGAGTTCAGAATAAACAATGTGCAGTCATTCCTGGCACTAAAATAACATTTCCTTTGTTCATTAGTCACGTTTCCAGGCTTTACACATGAATTCCATTTTTACTTTTTATTCACACTAAAAAAATAGAAGATTTACTGTAATGTAATGTTGTAATACGTAATTGTATAAATAATATAAGTGCATTCGTGAACACACATTAGACCCAACAGTTGACGTGCATTGGATGTGTGATGTGATTTGTTTACTCTTGAACACCAGCAAGAATTGAACATTTCCACTACTTTGAGCTCAATTTCAAGCTATTTTCCATCCTAAAACCAATCAAAATGATCCCTGTTTTTTTGTCAATATGCACTGTGTACTGGAGGATATTTTTTATATGGTAAACCCTGCCTCGGTGGGAGACGGCCGACTTGTTAAAAAAAAAAAAACTTATATAGACCCTTTCTCTCATATCTAGGCCCAAATTTAATGCTCACAGCTTATCCGAGTGAGCTGAGCTCATCACGTAGTACAGTGGACCCCCGCATAACGTTGGCATCGCATAGTGTTAAATCCGCATAGCGATATATTTTATCGCTAAAATTTTGCCTCGCATAGTGTTAAAAAATTCGCTCAACGTGATTCGTCCGAGACACGTCCATGCGGCCTGAGCCAGCCTCACTTGTTCTGCCAGTGGCATTGTTTACAAGCCAGCCTCCGCGGTAACATTCAAGCATACAATCGGAACATTTCGTATTATTACAGCCTTTTTATAGTGATTTCACCTGAAAAATAAGTGACCATGGGCCCCAAGAAAGCTTCTAGTGCTAACCCTACAGGAATAAGGGTGAGAATTACTATGGAGATGAAGAAAGAGATCATTGCTAAGTATGAAAGTGGAGTGCATGTCTCCGAGCTGGCCAGGTTGTATAGTAAACCCCAATCAACCATCGCTTCTATTGTGTCCAAGAGAACGGCAATCAGGGAAGCTGTTCTTGCCAAAGGTTTAACTGTGCTTTCGAAACAGAGATCACAAGTGATAGAAGATGTTGAGAGACTGTTATGGTGTGGATAAAACGAAAAACAGATAGCAGGCGATAGCATCTCTCAAGCGATCATAAGTGAAAAGGCTAGGAAGTTGCAAGAGGATTTAATTAGAAAAATGCCTGCAACTAGTGGTGATGCGAGTGAATTTAAGGCCAGCAAAGGTTGGTTTGAGAGATTTAAGAGGCGTAGTGGCATACATAGTGTGATAAGGCATGGTGAAGCTGCCAGTTCGGAGAGAGAAATTGAAGAAGTTGCCTACTTCAAAGATTAAGGAAATCTGCAAAGTGGCTTGAAGTGCAAACCTTCATGGATGAAAATCACCCTCAGACAGCTATTGCAAGCCGTGCTGGTGACTATTACACTGACACTGTTGTGAAACACTTTAGGAAAGTCATAAAGGAACGAGAGGTACAGGCCACTATGGACAGATATGTTGTGCGACAGAAGTCCAATGACTCTGAAGCTGGTCCTAGTGGCATTAAAAGAAGGGAAGCAACCCTGGAAAAGGACTTGACACCTCAAGTCCTAATGAAAGGGGATTCCCCTTCTAAACACTAAAACCATCCAGTCTCCCCTCCTCCCATCCCATCAATCATCACCACATCTTCAATAAAGGTAAGTGTCATGTAACTGTGCATGTTTTCTTAAGTTTGTGTGTATTAAAATTAATATTTCATGTGGTAAAAATTTTGTTTTTTTCATACTTTTGGGTGTCTTGCACGGATTAATTTGATTTCCATTATTTCTTATGGGGAAAATTAATTCGCATAACGATAATTTCGCATAACGTTGAGCTCTCAGGAATGGATTAATAGCGTTATGCGGGGGTCCACTGTACTATGTCACGGACACTTGCTTTGAAGCTGTAGAACAATGGCAAGGACTCTCAAAGGGTTAAAGCAAAGATGGGGTATTGTATAGTGCTATTACCTCTCTGGGCACTCATGTCTATAATCAAGAAATTTGGAAAATCATGAAAATTAATGTTAAAGAGCTAATTTATAAAGTTGTATATTCAGTAAAAGGAAACATTAATCTGAATGGTAAATTTTAATGATTGGAATCACATGAGCCCAGAATTAACTGAAATCTTGCCATATCTCTAACATGACCATAATTATATAGTGTGCTACCTGTGAAATATGCGATTGTCAAATGCATTAAGTTTTTTCATAAATCCACACTCGTATAGTTGTGGAATTATTTGTACACTAACTTTTGCTTTTTCTACCTTGAACTGTTTCTTGGTTATTAACCCATTTTATTGTTGTCACCTCAAAATTAAAAATCACTGACAATGTTGCAGTGTAAAACAAAATATGAAATGGTAAAGAATCTTTTTCTGAAAATATTGACACCAAAAATACAAAATTTGATGAAAAACTTGTGTAATTACACAGGTGCAAAGTTTGTGGTTTGGGCACAGTTCATGTATCAGTGATTTTTGCCCTCTTTGAGACCCAATTCCTAGCTGTTTTGCTAGTGTGCTTTCCATTCTACTGACTGCCCATTGAATCAAGACACCCTGATTCAACACACTGTCAGATCCATTACTTCAAAACCAAATGCTTGGTAAAGCATTTTGTGAGTTAGTCTAGCCATTTTACCAAGCTTGAAACAAAATTTCACATGCACGCATGCACACTCGCTGCCCCACTCTCTCTTTCTCACTTTCACTCTTACACACGATATCTCACTTGCTCACACTCACTCTCTTGCTCTCGCCCTCTCTTGCTCTCGCTCTCTCTTGCTCTCGCTCTCTCTTGCTCTTGCTCTCTCTTGCTTTCTCTTGCTCTCTCTTGCTTTCTCTTGCTGTCTTGCTTTCTCTTGCTCTCGCTTTCTCTTGCTCTCGCTCTCTCTTGCCCTCTCTTGCCCTCGCTCTCTCTCGCCCTCTCTTGCCCTCTCTTGTCCTCTCTGGCTTTCTCTGGCTCTGTGTTCTTTCTTTTCAAAATTCCATTCTGTTAAACAAAAAATTGCAACAACACACTGTAAACATGACAAAAAATGCTTGTGTGACCTCATAGGAATGACTGACCCCTCTGAAACTTGCCACGCTGCTTCACAAATGAGTGTACTGTGCAGCATGACCTGTACCGCCACCATAGCCGTATTCGCCTAGGAAGTGCACGAAAATTTGAGCATGGGAGTTTTTTGATAGCACTTCATTGGTCTGTGTGAGCTACAATGTTGTCAATGACTGATATCCATGTAGGAGACAGTGAAAGTGTTAATGGCTTACCACTTGAGCTAGAATGGTTCTTTGATACCACCCTGGGCCGTATACATAATGTTCTTGACATTCATTTTGAGAATAAGGTTGTATCTATAATTTCCTTAAGGCTTTATAAATGCTTATATCCCCCTCAGCATCTTATCAGTGTCTGGCTGGAAACATTTTTTTATTAATTTTTTAAAGCTGAACTTTCAAGGTTGGAAAAATTGCATATAATATTAGAATTTGTGTATAAACATGTCTGAGAAGTACTCTATTGTTATGCTAATACTAATTTGAAGAATGACAATTTTTTTTTGTAAAATTTCATTGGTGAATATGATTTTTATTTCACAATACACAACCTGCACACAAGAGAGAGGAGTTTAAGATGACATTTTGGTCTGACTTGGACCATTTACAAAGTCACACTAACAAAAAGGAGAGGAGGGAGTAAATATACGCCAGCAGACAGGGATGAGACAAGAGAGGTAGTAGGAAAGGAAGAAGAGAGGTAGTAGTAATAGTAGTGGAGTCAGTCAAAGACTAAGAGCTGATCAAAATATCGACTTGGATGACAGCCAATAAACTTACGCATAACACTGACAAAACCTACTATGTTATGTTTGATAGAAGAGCAGGAGTTGTGCAAATTAACATTAAGATCAACAACACTCTAATTGCCAGACATAATGAGGGCAAATTCCTAGGCCTATACCTCGACAACAACCTGAATTTCAGCACCCATATCCAACACATAACCAAAAAAGTATCCAAAACGGTTGGGATCCTCTCCAAGATACGATACTACATGCCGCAAAATGCCCTTCTCACACTATACCACTCACTTATTTATCCATACCTCACCTATGCTATTTGTGCTTGGGGATCAACTGCAGCAACGCACTTATAGCCAATAATAACCCAACAAAAAGCCGCAGTAAGAATAATCACAAAATCCTATCCCTGGCAACACCCCCCCCCACTCTTCATAGATCTAAACTTACTCCCTGTTCAGTACATCCACACTTACTACTGTGCAATCTACATCTACAGGACCTTAAATTCCAATATTAACCTTGACCTAAAATGCTTTCTTGATAGTTGTGACAGAACCCACAGGCATAACACCAGACACAAACATCTCTATGACATTCCCCGTGTCCGACTAAACCTTTACAAAAATTCAATGTATGTCAAAGGCCCTAAAATCTGGAACACCCTACCTGAAAACTCTAGAACTGCAGACACATTCATCACCTTCAAAACTACCATTAGAAAACATCTTATCTCCCTGATACACCCCGTCAACTAATTACACGAATACCACCTGGTGGTTCACACTTACACTCACCCATTTGACCATAAACAGAAATATCAATCTCAATCTTAAAATAATGAATCCTAACTAGTCATAAGTTGGCCTGTGATACTCCAATACTGAAACTATGTATTGTGCCAAAACAAAAGCATTCACATTGCTAAACTCACAAACTAGTATTTAGTCACTTAGCCATAATACCAACTTACCTCATAATTTGTAATATTTTAAAGTTAAGAATTAGTCTAAGTTTGCCCGAAATGCCTAGCCATGCTAGGTGTTCTAGTGGCACCCTCTGTAATTAGTATTTTACTACATGTAAGCCACACAATAACCAAATTCTGTAAACTCAGCATTATAATCCTTATAGAGAATAAACTTTGAATTTGAATTGAATTTGAAGAGGAGCACTGCAAGGTAGCTAATGGCCCACAAAGGGTAGGAACAAGAACACAGAGGGGGGGGGGAATAACAGTAATGGACCAAAAAGAAAACCCAAAGGAGAAAGAGGAAAGGGGAAGAGGGAGAAGGGGAAAAAGAATCAGGTTAAGTCATGGGTTCCAGTCACGGTATTATGCCTTTTTGTTATTTATGATTTTCATTTGTTGATTTTTACTAATTGGTGCTATATTTATGTATGATCATACTTTTGCTTTGAGCAAACTTCTTTACTTATTCAGAATTCGAATACCACCTGGCTGCAGCACAGAGCTTAACCATGCTGGCTACTCCTTCCTCACTTCGCTTTTTGAAAAATATGATAATGACAAGGACAGTGCACTAAGCCCACAAGAGCTCATAGATCTCTTCTCTACTTGTCCTGTTATGCCATGGGGTCCCGATGTCCTCAATTCTGTTCACACAAATGAAAAGGTGAGCTTCATCTATAAAGTACTGCATGGTAACCAATACTCTCTTGTCAGCATTATTGTGATAAAAATGCAAGATACTTAAAAATGTATTCTCTATTTAGTAATTTTTGCCCATATGCTTTAGGAACATAATAAAATATTTTTTTATTTAGGGGTGGATTACATTGCAAGGCTATTTAGCTCAGTGGACACTCTGGACTTTACTAGATATTCAGAGAACATTAGAGTACTTTGCATATCTTGGGTATTGTGGATCTGGTGATGACAATCAACTTTCTGCTATCACAGGTATTTGATGTTAAATAAAATGTTCATTGTAGTTTAGTGAGAAATTATGTAGATGGAACTTCCATTTATATATTCTAGAGAAAGAATTGCTTTGTGTAATAAAGTATCACAATTTACCCTTTTATACAACAGTAACTCGGGAGAAGCGAATTGACCTGCAAAAGAAACAAACCATGCGGAACGTATATCAGTGCCATGTTATTGGACCTCGTGACGCTGGCAAAACGACTTTCTGTCAGGGGCTTCTTAGCAGAACTTTAGAGGTGTAGTACATAAATAAAAATTTTGGGAGTTGGTGAAATATTGGGATACCATGTATGAGGCTGGGCTTCATACTTAAGCCCCAGCCTCAGTTAAGCCTCATGAAGTAGAAAGGAAATATTGCAGGAATATAATCTATTCAGACACTCACAGAATTGAAGATGAATTTATATAGAAGAGAAGCACAAGTTTCTAAGATTTACCTAGCATGATGGAGAATGTAAATACTACATTGTACAAGGACCTCACTCCTTCCATGCTTATGGTATGCTTTTATTTGTGTGATTGAAATTCTAATGTGATTCATGACAAATGTAATGCTGAAACTGTTTGCACAGAATACATCCTTTCCACTTTAGAAGGCCTGATTTGCAACTAGGCTGTGAAGCTAATGATCCCAGGAACCATGAACAGATGTATATTACAGATATTTATTATGGCGATTTGTTTCTTTTATGGCTGGGTTAATAGAGAAGAATGGAAAGCTTTTAATTAAATGTGGAAAAATAGAAATTAGAGTTTGTGTTGAATGCAAAGATCAGACTAAATCATTCATTGCTGAGTTATGCTCCTAAAAAAAATTGTGTAAAATTCCCTGTTGATTTCTTTGCAGGAAGTGCAAGACATTGCTCCAGATAGATTGTCTCGACACACCATCAGCACATTACAAGTTTATGGTCAAGAAAAGTATCTTGTTTTGCATGATATTGATGTCCACAACATAACTGATGCCCTCATGCCCAATGAAGTCCAGTGTGATGTAGCATGCTTGGTATATGATGTGTCAAATCCTAAGTCATTTGAATATGTTGCTAGAATATATTTGGTAAGTTTGCCAAGCAACACAGAAAGGATAGTATGGAAAGCCCTTGCTTTATGCAGGTTTGCCATGTGGAAATTCACTTTTATGCTATACCCTGTTTCTACCAGAATTCTCCATGTGCTGTCTATAAATTCGCCCTATACAGTCAGTGCAGTTTTCAAATTATAAGACAAGATGAAATGTTGATATTCTGATTGAGATTGCTACAGCTGTCATGGGTTTAGATTACATCTTCTGCATAAAGTGAGGGGCCCCTGTATTTGATTATAAATTAAAATGTTCCTTTGGATTAAACATTTGAAATCTTTTTGATTTTGGTATTAACCCTTTGGGGGTTTCGGATGTACTAGTACGTTTTATGATCCAGGGTTTTTGACGTACGTACTAGTACTCCTAAATTCTAGCGCCCTCAAATCTAGTGAGAGAAAGCTGGTAGGTCTACATATGTAAGAAAAAAATCCTGCAGCACACAGTGCGTAATGAGAAAAAAAAAACTTTGACCGTGTTTTTGGATTAAAACAGCGACTTTGCACTGTATTTTCGTATGGTATATATTGTTGTATTCTAGTTTTCTTGGTCTTATTTTATAGAATGGAAGACATATTACAGAAATTGAGATGATTTTGACTGGTTTTACAATGAAAAGTACCTTGAAATTGAGCTCAAAGTAGCAGAAATGTTTGATTTTTACCAAAGTTCAAAAGTAAACAAATCATGCTACACGTCCAATACACGTCAACTGGTGAGTCTAATATTCTTTTACAAGTGCGCTGATATTATTTATACCATTTCTACACTAATGCCGTAGTCTGCATAACAGTAAATCTTATTTTTATTTTAAGAATAAAAATTCAAAGTGGAAAGCCAAAGAAATATAAGAGGGGCCTGGGGATGTGACTAACGAACAGAGAACTTGTTATTTTAGTGCCAGGAATGTCTTTCTTGTTTATTCTGGACCCTATTTGGAAATTGGCATCTTTTGAAATTTGTGTGAAATTGGCAAAATTGCTAAATTCTGACCACTTTATTGGATAGTTGAAATCAGTAAATGGGTGGTTTCTTGTACTCATTCGATAGAAAAAATTGAGTTTTAGCAAAATAGCTATGATTTTTGTCAACTAGTACACTGGAATTGGCCGAAAATAGGGCTCAAAGTGGGCAAAATCACCAATGAGTAAACATCGTCAAGACCGCTAACTTCGTGAGAGCATAATTCCGTAAGTTTTCCATCAAATTTCATACTTCTGGTGTCATTATGATCGGGAAAAGATTCTCTATATTTTCATAAGAAAAAAATAATTCTTTTTTTTTTTTTTAAATTTGGCCGACCCTGAAAACAAGTTTCTGAGAGGACCTGTCGACCCCCAAAGGGTTAAATATATTTGTTAGATTTAAAAAAATATAATGTGGCTGCTTTTTTTAATTCATTATGAACAAAGTGGCTTCATTGTTTGATATCCAAATCATATCCATTATCTTTTCCAGTTATTTAGTGTTTCTAAATCTCTGATATCTGAAAGACAGAATTGTTTTGAATATTATAAAATTCATTAATTAGTTAAACGTATGTGATTTAAATGGGAGCGTAATAATGTTAAAGTAAATCAATAACGTAACCTTTTTCAGAAATACTTTAGTGAAACGTCCATCCCAGTATTGTTTGTTGCCAATAAAAGTGACATGTCTGCAGTACGTCAAGATTATATTCACCAGCCAGTCTCGTTTTGTCACAAGCACAAGATCCCTCCACCACACACATTTTCTTCTGCAGTTCAGCCTAAGAAAGACATTTACACTAAGTTAGCAACAATGGCAGCATATCCGTAAGTATTTTCCTAATCCTGTTTTTTTTTTTATTATTATATAAACTTTACTTAACCATAATGAATACTTTATTTCTTATAATATTTCTTTATTGTATTATGTATTTATTTTTGTAAGTTTGCTTAAAATTTTAAGTTTAAGTGAACAACAAAGTAAATAGTTCATGAATGGTAATAATGGTTTATGTGCAGAATAGTTGTGTTCAGCACTGTGATAATGAGTGTTAATCTTATTTTTAAAACTAATGTTTTAGACTTTATTGGTCTCTGCCACATTCATGGGTGATTAGAAAATAACAAATTAAATTAAAATGCTTGATTATAAACTATTGTTTGTAAGCCCCCTGTTCACCACATTACCTAATTTCTTTTATATCTTTTGTGTATGTAAATAGACACTGAAAACTCATTATGAAAATGTTCTCTTCCCAGAGGTTTTATCAGTCCAATACAGAGAACAGCATTAAGGCAGTATAAATAGTAGTGTAGGTCAGGTGCTGTGAGAGAAAGGACAGCTAAGTAATGGACGTGTTTTGCTTAGGTAGAATGTGCTGTACAAAGTTTTCAAAAGTAATGAACCTTCCTTTGTTTTGAGTTGTATTGTTAATGGTAGTGATGAGTGATGACTAAAATAGCATCTGCTGTACTTGTCTGATTCCTTGATGTCTAGTTTGACTTTACAGGAAATCCATGAAGTGTCCAAAGGTGTTGCAGTGTATGACACAAGAATTGTTCAAATTGCCTGGCATGTGTAACGGTATTCCTTGATGCACTGTGTGAGAGTTTTAGAAGTTTCTGTAATGCATTAACATGAGGAATAAGATGCTTACCCATTACAACATTACTTGTAAATTTTTTGTTGTTGTCCCATGGAAAGCTATTGATGACAAACCCCCTGATACCAACCAAAGACTGTGGATGTCATTGAGTTTTGCATCAGTTTCACTTATTTTTCTTTTGTTGATGCTTTATATGAAGAATCACATGTAATAGCCATGGGCTTCCGACTCATTGCTGTTGTGGTTGATTTATACATGGCTGAGATTCTATCAGTGACTAGGTGCAAAGCAGAAAGGATCACAAATACAGCTAGTTAATGACAAACACTAGATAGGTTCATAGTTCTGCCTTCCAACCAAACCACTAATTTGTATAATAGTATTGCTAAAAGAAAAATCAGAATAGCCAACTTAACAACTGGGACTATTAAGAACCTAATATCTACAAGAAATACACAAGGAAACCAGTGTCAGGTATACACCATTGCTATCAAGAACACTGTTACGTGCCATAGGAATGACGTGAACAACACTCGTCACCCATTGCATCACCTGTGAACGCCTCATGTACTTCTATAATGCTAAACCATTCATTAGGGAATTGCATCACTGTAGTAAATGTTTATTCGTCACTCATCTTTACCACTAACACCTTAACTCCAAATATAGGAAGTTACATCATTTCTGAAGTGATGGTCACAACACATACTATCCAAGCAAACTATGACCATCACTTAGTGCTGCCCTTTCTCTTACATTGCCTTACCTCTGCCACTATTTGTACTGCTGGATTCTGTCTTTGAAGTGAATGATAAAACCCTTGGTGGGCGATGTCTCTTTAATAAATGTCTTAAAACGTGAATATATGTCTATTTTTTTTTTTTCAAACCGGCCATATCCCACCTAGGCAGGGTGGCCCAAAAAGAAAAACAAAAGTTTCTCTTCTCAAATTTAGTAATTTATACAGGAGAAGGGGTTACTAGCCCCTTGCTCCCTGCATTTTAGTCGCCTCTTACAACATGCATGGCTTACGGAGGAAGAATTCTGTTCCACTTCCCCATGGAGGTAAGAGGAAATAAACAGGAACAAGAACTAGAAAGAAAATAACAGTAAACCCAGAGGGGTGTGTATATATATGCTTGAACATGTATGTGTAGTGTGACCTAAGTGTAAGTAGCAAGAAGTACCTGAAATCTTGCATATTTATGAGACAGAAAAACAGACACCAGCAATCCTTCCATAATGTAAAACAATTACAGGCTTTTGTTTTACTCACTTGGCAGGATAGTAGTACCTCCCTAGGCGGTTGCTGTCTACCAACCTACTACCTATAATATGTCTTATTTCTTTCTTTCTTTCTTTCAACACGCCGGCCGTATCCCACCGAGGCGGGGTGGCCCAAAAGGAAAAACGAGAGTTTCTCCTTTTACATTTAGTAATATATACAGGAGAAGGGGTTACTAGCCCCTTGCTCCTGGCATTTTAGTCGCCTCTTACAACACGCTTGGCTTACGGAGGAAGAATTGTGTTCCACTTCCCCATGGAAGTAAGAGGAAATAAACAAGAACAAGAACTAGTAAGAAAATAGAAGAAAACCCAGCGGGGTGTGTATATATATGCTTGTACGTGTATGTGTAGTGTGATATAAGTGTAAGTAGAAGTAGCAAGACGTACCTGAAATCTTGCATATTTATGAGACAGAAAAATGGACACCAGCAATCCTACCATCATGTAAAACAATTACAGGCTTTCGTTTACTCACTTGGCAGGACGGTAGTACCTCCCTAGGCGGTTCTTGTCTACCAACCTACTACCTATAATATGTGAGATATAAGCGACTATTGGCAGAAAGGTGGGCTAGTTCAAAGATGAGTAGTGGGGGGGTTGAAGAGGGTTGGAATAGTTTTAAAAATGCAGTATTAGAATGTGGGGCAGAAGTTTGTGGTTATAGGAGGGTGGGAGCAGGAGGAAAGAGGAGTGATTGGTGGAATGATGAAGTAAAGGGTGTGATAAAAGAGAAAAAGGTAGCTTATGAGAGGTTTTTACAAAGCAGAAGTGTTATAAGAAGAGCAGAGTATATGGAGAGTAAAAGAAAGGTAAAGAGAGTGGTGAGAGAGTGCAAAAGGAGAGCAGATGATAGAGTGGGAGAGGCACTGTCAAGAAATTTTAATGAAAATAAGAAAAAATTTTGGAGTGAGTTAAACAAGTTAAGAAACCTAGGGAAAATATGGATTTGTCAGTTAAAAACAGAGTAGGGGAGTTAGTAGATGGGGAGATGGAGGTATTGGGTAGATGGCGAGAATATTTTGAGGAACTTTTAAATGTTAAGGAAGAAACAGAGGCAGTAATTTCATGCACTGGTCAGGGAGGTATACCATCTTTTAGGAATGAAGAAGAGCAGAATGTAAGTGTGGGGGAGGTACGTGAGGCATTACGTAAAATGAAAGGGGGTAAAGCAGCTGGAACTGATGGGATCATGACAGAAATGTTAAAAGAAGGGGGGGATATAGTGTTGGAGTGGTTGGTACTTTTGTTTAATAAATGTATGAAAGAGGGGAAGATTTCGTTCGGATTTTTAACCCCGGGGGGTTAGCCACCCAGGATAACCCAAGAAAGTCAGTGCGTCATCGAGGACTGTCTAACTTATTTCCATTGGGGTCCTTAATCTTGTCCCCCAGGATGCGACCCACACCAGTCGACTAACACCCAGGTACCTATTTGCTGCTAGGTGAACAGGACAACAGGTGTAAGGAAATGTGTTGAAATGTTTCCACCCGCCGGGAATCGAACCCGGGCCCTCCATGTGTGAAGCAGGAGCTTTAGCCACCAGGCCACCGGGAAGGTACCTAGGGATTGGCAGAGAGCATGTATAGTCCCTTTATATAAAGGGAAAGGGGACAAAAGAGAATGTAAAAATTATGGAGGAATAAGCTTACTGAGTATACCAGGAAAAGTGTACGGTAGGGTTATAATTGAAAGAATTAGAGGTAAGACAGAATGTAGGATTGCGGATGAGCAAGGAGGTTTTAGAGTGGGTAGGGGATGTGTAGATCAGGTGTTTACATTGAAGCTATATGTGAACAGTATTTAGATAAGATAGGGAAGTTTTTATTGCATTTATGGATTTAGAAAAGGCATATGATAGAGTGGATAGAGGAGCAATGTGGCAAATGTTGCAAGTATATGGAATAGTGGTAAGTTATTAAATGCTGTAAAGAGTTTTTATGAGGATAGTGAGGCTCAGGTTAGGGTGTGTAGAAGAGAGGGAGACTACTTCCCGGTAAAAGTAGGTCTTAGACAGGGATGTGTAATGTCACCATGGTTGTTTAATATATTTATAGATGGGGTTGTAAAGGAAGTAAATGCTAGGGTGTTTTGGGAGAGGGGTGGGATTAAATTATGGGGAATCAAATTCAAAATGGGAATTGACACAGTTACTTTTTGCTTTCCTCCGTAAGCCATGCGTGTCGTATGAGGCGACTAAAATGCCGGGAGCAATGGGCTAGTAACCCCTTCTCCTGTATACATTTACTAAAAAAGAGAAGAAGAAAAACTTTATAAAACTGGGATGCTTAAATGTGCGTGGATGTAGTGCGGATGACAAGAAACAGATGATTGCTGATGTTATGAATGAAAAGAAGTTGGATGTCCTGGCTCTAAGCGAAAACAAAGCTGAAGGGGGTAGGAGAGTTTCAGTGGGGGAAATAAATGGGATTAAATCTGGAGTATCTGAGAGAGTTAGAGCAAAGGAAGGGTAGCAGTAATAGTTAAATGATCAGTTATGGAAGGAGAAAAGAGAATATGAATGTGTAAATTCAAGAATTATGTGGATTAAAGTAAAGGTTGGATGCGAGAAGTGGGTCATAATAAGCGTGTATGCACCTGGAGAAGAGAGGAATGCAGAGGAGAGAGAGAGATTTTGGAGATGTTAAGTGAATGTATAGGAGCCTTTTGAACCAAGTGAGAGAGTAATTGTGGTAGGGGACCTGAATGCTAAAGTAGGAGAAACTTTTAGAGAGGGTGTGGTAGGTAAGTTTGGGGTGCCAGGTGTAAATGATAATGGGAGCCCTTTGATTGAACTTTGTATAGAAAGGGTTTAGTTATAGTAATACATATTTTAAGAAAAAGAGGATAAATAAGTATACACGATATATGTAGGGCGAAATGACAGTAGTTTGTTGGATTATTTATTGGTAATAAAAGACTGTTGATTAGACTTCA